TAAGAATCTTGACTTTTAGATTTTTTGATGTACGTCTAACTAGGCCATTTAAACTATGATGCCAAAATGATAAATCTGGTTTCATATCATCTGCACAGTTGTCAGGATAGAAGTTTGCTTTACTGATGACCATTTATACTCTGGCAGGACAAACAAATGCTAGCTGTCCCAGGATTATTTTTACTTTTATAGATGTCTATTTTTCTAGGCTGCAAGGATTTGTTCCTTGAACTCCAACACTGCTGAGTGCAGGGAAGCATTTTACAACCAACTATGTGAACGTTTTGCCTCAAAGGAGAAAAACTATTACAGTATGTGGGAGTGCTAACTGCTGCCAAAAGTATTTTGAAGGACTTCCCATATTACTAAAGTCTCTGAGAGTTCATGTCATTATTGTCATTGTTTTAAATTCTCTCCTGTGCCAGAATTTGGCATGAAAAGCTGTCCTTTCCTGGAACAATGGATAGAGAGATTTAGTGTTTCTATTGTTCAGCACACAAACTTCACTAAAGGCCAAAAAAAAAAAAAAAAAAAAAATCTGGAGGCAGGGACAAAGGGGCCCAGCACATGCCATTTCTATTCTGCAATGGCTTTCTTAAGGATCTGGGTGTAATCAAAGGGTTTTGGTTAACACCTACCCTCTTTTAGGGAACAGAAATGTGGTACAAATTAATTCAGATAACTCAGTTTTTGAATAAGAGAGAAAAAACTACAGGAACAATGAATTGCTATTCTGGAATTCACTAGTCTTGTGGGGCTTGATAAACTCAAATGAGATCTAGGACTATATACACAAAGGCCTTTTCACTCCTGGGGCAGATCATGAGATGGCGGTGATTCAAAATGTGTTTATTTGGACATGGCTCTCTGCATATTTAAAGTTCACCTGTTCGACAATGTGATTCAAAATCTGTTTATTTGAATATGGCTCTGTGCATATTTAAAGTTCACCTGTTCAACAGTGTTTGGGCTTTTCAGTGTAAGAAGCTGGAAAATGTTTTGAGGTCAATATTAGGATGGGGGCAGGAGGTTATCCCTAGATTTCTGTTCAACTCTTTTGCAAATGTATGCCTTCAGTCGTAAGGGAGAGGTCAACACTGCCAATACCACCTGCACTATAAGAAAATACAAACTGACACCATTTTTCTACAAAAAAAGATGTGCTTTTTGTGTTAAATGTAATGGTTAAAGAAATAAAGTGTGTTTTTTATAAATAAAAACAAACTCTTGGAATCAGGGTTGTTTAAATAGATCTCTCCAGTCTGTACAAAGAAGTGTTGGGCAATTATTTTCTGAACTTCGACTGCCGAGTTAATTAGGGGCATGTTATTTTGCCTGAGTTATTAGGATACTGTAATATGTCCTAATTTCCCAATAAAACTAATAATTTCATACTATTTCACTTTGGTTGGGCACGCAAATGGCATTAACAAACAAGCATTAAAAAATACTTAACATGCTTCATCATAAGCTCTCACTGCCAAAAGGAAGTACAGTAATTCGCTTCAAATGATTTACAGAATCTTGAGAGACTGTCTAAAAATGTAAAGTTCTATGCAGTGCTTTTAGTCATAATGGAACTAAAACAAAATTCGGAATCCAAAAACCTCTTCTCAGATATTTCTTTCATCTGGAAGCCATCAAATCTCGATTGGTTCCCTCAACAAGTATGTTTTTTACCTTTTCACCCTATCATTATGAGCTTTACCCGCCCCCATTACTGAAACAGATAACCACCTCCCTTCTAATTATACATAATAACTAAAAAAACCAAAAAACCAAAAACCATCACCTACTGGGGCCGCGACGTCAACAGACTTGAGCCAAAGTGCTGGCTCTTTTCTGAACTCATGCTGCTGTGAAGAAAAACTTTAAAAAAAAATCATTAAACAGAAAAACAAAAAAACCTTGCACAAAAGCAAAGCTGGAAGACAAATTTAGCAGCATTACTCTAGAACTTCCTGGCTTTGTTGACGGGAGCCACAACGTTAACATTAAAACACCAAGACTCACACTTAAAATATTTCCCTTGAAATAAAAAAAAAAAACAATAGCTTTTTCAGGATCTGAAATAACGCTGCAAGGCACACAATAGATTTTATTGAGTTGATGTGTTATTTACATACTCATAAAGGACTTAAAAAATAAGCTAAATGGAAGATGCTCCCAACAGACAAAAATAAGATATTCTAATCTATTGTTCAAGTTCGCTGCTCCGACATAAATAATGGGCTATAAACCCTTATCTGAAAATAGTTGCGCACTGCGTGCGTAATGGACAGCCAATGACAAGCGACGTCTCCTTCGCCTACGCCTTACAGCACATCAAAGAGGCACTGCCTTTCTTCTTTTTAAAAGAGGCCACCCACTCGGTCACACCGGGTTTTAGCACCTTTGTTAGGCCTCCCGGCGGGCTCTACAGTTTGTGCTTGCACAGCAAAGCCCGGCAGGCACGCGGGCTCGCCGCTGCCGCCAGAAAGCAACTTCCCACGGCGAGTTCTAGGCATCCCCTCGTAAAATGTATTTCTTCCGCACTGCGAGGGTGGGGCGCGAAGTCCCGCTTACAAAGGGCAGGACAGATCCGCGGCTTGGCGCATGCCTTTCGGCTGCGTGTCAGGCTTAGCGCGCGCCGCAACCAGCCCGTCCCCGCGGCGCTGGGCGGTGGAGACCCGGCCTCACGACCACAAGGGATGGAGAGAACAAAGGGGACGCGCTCGCCCGCGACTCCCGGGGGCAGCCCGCGCGCGCCTCCGCCCCCGCGCGAAATGGCGGCGGCCGCGCCACAAAATGGCAGCCGGCCCGGCCAAGAGCAGGCGGGAGGGGGACTGCGAGGCGCCGCGAACCTCCCCCTAGCTCGTTAACGCGAGCGCCTACGTTGTCTGGACCGCCGTCAGGAGCCCCGGGGCCCCGCGGCCACGGGCGTGCTCCACCCGGCGCCCTGGCCTTCCCGCGCCGCCCGGCCTGCCGGCAGAACCGGCGGCGTCCCGAGTCCGTGAACCACGCAGCGCCTTCGTGCGCGCGCGGCCTCTGCTCTCCCGGCCTCTGCTCTCCCTGACCGCCCCTCTCCGAGGGGCTTTTACTTAAAGGGGTGACAACTGGAAGGAACCCAGCGTCGCACACCCGCCGGCCAATGCCATCCAGGACGCCCCTCAGGCCCGGGCGGGGTCGTCGGGCCCGGGGAGAACCCCTTTGTTACGGTCCCACAGACTCCCAGCGTTAGCTCCAGGTCACCGAAGTGAAGACAGGCGGGAGAGGGCCCGATGACCCCCCAGATGAGGGGAAATCAAGAAAAAGCGGATAAAAGCCGCTCCCCCCAGTGCTTCGGCAGCCACGCTGAATCTTAACGTACTGGGCCCACTCCAGCCCCGCGTCCCAGAGCCCACGCGTGCTCAGGCAGCTCCAGAGGGCGGATTTCGGCTCCCATTCCACCTTGCAAACATCCAGTGAGCGCTCTATGGTTTTCACCGGTACCCCCTGCCCTCTCCCCTCTCCCTGTGGTGAGGGATCTCGGGAACCGGGCATGGGCAGAGGAAGGAGCAGCTGCTGCGGTCCCCACGCTTTTTCCCTGGCGTGAGGGTCTCAGTGGGCTTGGGCTCTGCTTTGGCCGTGGCTCGCTGGCTGGAGGCAGGGCGGTGTCGCTGTGCTTTGGTTTTTTCGCTTTCTCTCAAATGCTTGCTTTCTTGCGCTTCCCATCCCCCAGCTTCCCTTTGGCTCCGTCTTTCCAGAAACTTCTCAGGGAAACTCAGCAAAAAGCCCCAGGCTCCGCCACCGCCTCCCACGGCGCATGCGTGACAGACGATGCGGAAAGCTCAGGGCGCGCGCGTGCGAGCTTGAGTGTGAGAGTGGTACGTGAGCGCGCACGCGCTCGCCGTGCGGGGGCTGTTCCCTCTCACAAGGAGGGGAACAGGTTTATCCCCTCCCCCAGCGTTCCGTCGTCGCGCAAGCGCGTTGGGGCCCCTTCCCTGGCCGTTAAGGGAAGGAGGAGGGGTAGTGCTGAAGCGCTCTAATCGTGGCTCTGCGCCTGCGTGCTGGGTAGTCCTAGTCACTCTGTCTTTTCCGCGCTGCCTGTGGTAGCATCTTTGAAATGCGTGTGTGTGCAGCTGGCTTGTGCCCTGCCTTGTCTCCTCAACTCTCAGTCGCGGCAACTGTAGCCTCTTGTGGGGTTATCGATTCTGTACCACGAGTTTACTAATCTGGAGATTAGTCTTCCCTTTGTGCCCAGGGAGAGGTTGGACTGTGGCTGGCTGGCTTCCTCTCCACTCCTGCCTGCGCCACGTCTGGAGCGGCTTCTGACTGGATTGGGTCACCGTGGAGTGTGGTGGAGCCGTTTCTAAACTTGGGAAGACAGCCCTGGCCGAAGGACTGGGTGGTGCCCGGCCGGCTTACGTCCGGCGCAGCCTGAGTTCTTGCTCACTAGGCCAAAATGAAGGTGTCCTTTCGTTGGAACGCGGCCCTCACCGCTCGCCATGATCCTCTGCTCACGCAGCGGGGCTCCTCACCCCGGGGGTGTGGATGCAGACAGGGTCTTGCGAACAGTTGCGTCTCCCTTTGCAGAATTGAGCTTGGACGTGGTAACCATAGTGACCGCGCTTACTCTTTCCTAGGTGCCTCCCCTCCCCCCTTTCCTTTAGGGGTGTGGTGGAAATTATTGTCAGAAGAGACTGTTGTTGTAGTCTCTTCAAAATACAAAAAAAACAACCCAAATCAAAAAACCCTCTTTACTCTTCATATAACCCACTTCCATCCAATCCCGTGTGTGCCCTGCAGCTACATTCCCTTGGCCGGGAATGGCGGCTGGCCGCTCCCTCCAGTCTGCACTCTGCCCTTGCCGGGCTTCCCCGTGAACTGCTGTCGTTTCCCAGGTGGAGTAATTGCCTCCCTCAACGAATTGTCTTGTGACGCACCTTCAGATCCCTGTAGGTGCAAGGTTTTAAGAAGTGAGCTCGTTCGTGGAGAAAACACATTGGGGGCTCCCAGGGACTGATGTGGCAGTCGCAATCATGGCCTTTTCAGGTCGGAGCCACACGCCAGCCCTGCAGCTTTTGGGCGGGTGCTCCGTGGCCTTGCAGGTGCAAAATTGACCGCGCGGAGCCGGAGGTCACACCAGGGCAGCTTTGGGCGGAGCCACTCGGTGGGTCCTAACAAAGGGAGAGCTTGCTTACTGGTGGGAATTTTCAGTTGGTGCCAGATTCCTACCGGGAACTCTCCGTATATAAACCTTATCTAGGAGGTGTTAAAATACTAGCAAGTGATAGAATTCTCCCCTTGCTAACAAAGCTATAATTTGAAGCTTGGAAATAACCAGATCAAGCGTTCCTTGAATTCGCAGAATTTTTGTTATAGTTACTGTCTTAATATAAATTATGAGCCGGGTGTGGTGGCTGACGCCTGTAATCCTAGCCCTTTGGGAGGCCGAGGCAAGAAGATCCCTTTAGGTCAGGAATTGGAGACCAGGCTGAGCAACATAACTCCACTCCAGTCTCTACAAAAAGTAGAAAAATTAGCTGCGCATGGTGGTGTGCGCCTGTGGTCCCAGCTACTCTGGAGGCTGAGGCAGGAGGATCACTTGAACCCAGGAGTTTGAGGTTGTAGTGATCATGCCACTGCTCTCATGTCCTGACAACAAAGGAAGACCCTATTTCAAAAAAATATATATATACACACACATATGTATATATAAATTATGGTTAAGGGGTCTTTAAAATCAGAATTCTTACTGTAATGATAACACTACTAAATTAAGGGGAAGACAATTTTGAATGTACATTTTATAATTTAAAACAGACATATAAAAGTTCTTATGTGCTAACACTTAGAATCACTGGAAACTGAGGGGAGCAATATGTTTTAAGTTGAGAACCTGAAGGACAAAAGTATCCTGGTTTAAAGCCACTTTTCAGGTGAATTTTTTAAAAGTAAAAGGTTTGTGTGCCTGGGTGTGTGTTAAAATTAGCACTCCTGGGGGAAACACAGATTATTCATTCTACTGCCTGCCCACCAGATATTAGCATACAATGAAATCTTTATTTATGACTCTTACTGATTCTGTTTTCTTTCTTAGGAAAACCTATCTTAAATTAATCTAGCATCTTCAAAAAAAGTTATCTTGAGGCATTCACTCTTTTCAGCCAAAGTATTTTCCAAACATAAGGTGGATGGTTCCTAGGACTTTTGTAGTATATGGCATGAAAAAAAATCTGTCTATATCTCCTTTATCAAAATACTGAAATTTAAGTTTTTAAAGCCTTAAAAATAATTCTAGCATTTAATTCAGAAATGTATCGTGTCCTACCTAGTCTTTAAATAAGGTGTGGATTTAAAAATTTTTTTTTGTAGAGATGGGATCTTGCTATGTTGCCAGCCTGGACTCAAACGATCCTCCCATCTCAGCCTCTCTATATCTGGGACTACCAGCACATGCCACCATGCCCCTGATTTATTTTAAGCCAAAAGATTCAACCTGTGAAATATTATATAAAATTAGAAATCATTACTGTCTTGCAGATTAGTGTAAAAATTGAGACTATGTGACTAAAGACTGTTTAGATTTATGACTAAATAGCAATAATTGAATTAAAATTGAAACAGTTTTAAAACATATATTGAATGAGTACATACATGATTTTTTGTTTGAATTCTTTACTTCAAACTAGTCAGATTTCTGAGAGTAGCAGTAGGGGAGCTTAAAACCCTAAATCTGTCTTACCTTTTAAGAAACTGTAAAAAAACAACAAAACAAAACCCTAAATCTGCTGAAATTTTCAATATATACATAATAAGTTACTAAACACATTTTATTTGGCATTATTGTTTTTGAGATCCCATCAATGCAGTTTGATAGTCTTCTCTGATTAATTAGAAGTCTCAATTTACATTATTTATATTGTTTGTTTCCTGATGCTTTAAGAGGAAACCTGGGTGTTTTGGCTAATGTATGTTACTTATAGTGAAGAGGTTGAGTTTTTTTCTCAAATGGGGATTATCAATAGGATTTTTAAAAGATTGAATGAAATCTCTGAATTAACATAGAGAGTAATAACATTTTGTTTATGTGGGGTCTGTTAACATAAATATGTTGATTTAATGTAGTCAGGTATCAATGTTTCAGAGGAACCCTTAGCTAAAGTGACCCAGATGCTAACTTCCAAAAGTCATTTTATTATAACCTTTCTTCTAATTATAAAAGCAATACATAACAAAGTTAGAAAATATAGAGGAATAAAATTTTTAAAAAATTCAAATTCTACCACATAGACATGATTAACATTTGCAAATATCCTTCCACTTTATTTTTCATTCAATTCCAAACACATTAGTAAATTGCATTAATAATTCTAAATATTAGGTATGTTACCGGTATTTCCTCATAGAAGGAAAAAAGTTACTTTTAGCAACTTTCCAGGGATAAAGAATGGTAGAAACTTAAGAAGCAAGGGGTTCAAGACCTGCTTTGGCAACACAGCAAGACAGCCCATGCCCAACCCCGCCCCAGCCTGCCTCTACAAATAAACTTTTTAAAAAATAGCTTTCTTAGAGAGTTGAACAGTAAAGTAGATTATGCAGTGCTAGCTTGCTGAAAGAATGATTTAAAGCAGCAGTCCTGTGACCTTTTTGGCACCAGGGACCGGTTTCATGGAAGACCAATTTTCCACTGGGGAAGGAGGGGATGCAGGGGAGCCAGATGACTAGCTAGCTAATATTTTTCGATGTTTTGGAGTTCTGATAATTAATGCATAATTTCACCAGAATAAGTTTGCTATATAAATATAAGTCTTTTTCTTTTCTTTTTTTCTTTTTTGAGACAGAGTCTCACCTGTTGCCCAGGTTAGAGGGCCCTGGCATCAGCCTAGCTCACAGCAACCTCAAACTCCTGGGCTCAAGTGACCCTCCTGCATCAGCCTCCCTGAGTAGCTGGAACTACAGGTGTACAGTACACACCACCATCCCTGGCTAGTTTTTTTCTATTTTTAGTAGAGATGGGATCTCACTTTTGCTCAGGCTGGTCTCAAACTCCTAACCTCAAGTGATCCTTCCACCTCGGCCTCCCAGAGTGCTAGGATTACAGGCCTGAGCCACCGCGCCCAGCCGAATATAAGTCTGTTAAAAGACTGGTCTCCCTTTCACCATCTGACCGTCAGAAACAGCAACGTGTCAAACGCTCTTTCATAATAATAATACAGTGGTGTTGTCTGTTTTATTCTCTATTTTTTAAACCCGTATTTAATAGTAGAAATTTATCAATATTGTCAAGTTTTCACGTGGTTGGTACTTTGGTCATTTTAGAGTTAGTTAATATATTTTTATAGTATGCCTTTAAGAAGAAATACTTACATTGTAAGTGCATGTTTTCTCCTGAAACGGCTTAATTTTAATACTTGGGACCTGTTTTGTAACCGAATGCTTGTTAACTATCTAGTAGCTATTCTGTCATCCTGGTAAATGGTGATATTAGTTTATCTGCTGTAGTGGCTAGGTTAGCAAGCATCTGAGTTTGAGGCTCAGATGCTTTCCCCATCTAAGCTTCCATTACGCATGACTGAACTCTTTGAGCATGTCTAGCATGCTAAATACAGCAGATCCTCACAGTGTGAAAATAAGACCTGATTAAAAGCAAATCTATTTTAATTCCGCTTTGCTAATGGCTCTGCTTTAATGTCACCTTTCTGAATTATCTTTAATATACAAATGAGGAAATTCACTTCACCATCCATTTATCATAGATAAATCACAACCTACTTTTTGATCTTTTCAATGAGCATCAATTATTAATTGTTAAGATAAATAAAAAATCATCAGAGAATAACAGAGTAGGTTGCCTTTCTATTGAAAACATACGAAGATACATGATTTAAAGACGTTCTGCCCCTGTAAATATTTGTAAGAAGGATAGAAATAGAGAAAAGCTTTCCCAGTATTTCCTGATGCATTGTCAGCAAAAATGAAAAGCACTGAGAAAAATCAAACACTTGATTTGTGGCTGTGCAAAGGGCATGTACTTATTCGTTTTGTTATTAAGAGCTTTTGCAATAGAAAAGGTCAGCAAAAACAAAAAACAAAAAAGCAAGGAACTCTGTACTTGACATGCAATCACTGCATATTGATTTGGCTACAGGACTTGACTATATCATGAAAATGTTATAAATTGATAATGTAGTGTTTTTAACTTCAATTGATGCTTACTTTTGATGTCAATGTGAAATTAACTGTAAACTTACGGTATTCATGATATTTACATGGTATGTTACTTGCAAACACTTTACATATATTTTCTCATTTGTAACTTCTAGCAACCTTACTAGGTAGAAAAAACAGGTAGTTTTTTTTTTTTTTTGAGACAGAGTCTCACTCTGTTGCCCCGGCTAGAGTGCCGTGGCGTCAGCCTAGCTCACAGCAACCTCAAACTCCTGGGCTCAAGCAATCCTTCTGCCTCAGCCTCCCGAGTAGCTGGGACTACAGGCATGTGCCACCATGCCCGGCTATTTTTTTCCTATGTATATATTTTAATTGTCCAGCTAATTTCTTTCTATTTTTAGTAGAGATGAGGTCTTGCTCTTGCTCAGGCTGATCTCGAACTCCTGAGCTCAAACGATCAACCCGCCTCGGTCTCTTAGAGTGCTAGGATTACAGGCATGAGCCACCACGCTGGGCCAAAAACAGGTAGTCTTATCCTCATTTTGTAGGTAAGAAAATTGAGACTCTGTGGATTTAATTGATTTGCCTAAGCCATATAGCCAGTGACAAAATTGGAACTGGAGGTTTTGACTCTTAACACAGGGCTTCCATTACACTATAATGTGTCTACTTCATACCATCAGTGTTTTTCAGTGTCTCCCAAAGTTCAAGGTCAAGTAGTAATTGTTATGCTGAAAAAATCAGTAAGGAACATGGATATTACTTTAACCCAGAGATATTAATTTTTTTGAGATTTTTTTTATTTATTTCAAAATATTAAGGGGTACAAATATTTTTGGTTACATGGATCGCTTTTGTAATGATTGAGTCATGGCTGTGTGTCCATCACCCAAATATTGTTTGTTCTACCCAATAGGTAGGTTTTTGCCCATCCCTTCCTCTCCCTCTTCCCCCTTACCCCCCACAGATATTAAGTTTTATAGGAATGGGTAGAATTCCTGTCTGAATTGCACTTTTTTACATTTTATTTTTATTTTATTTTATTTTTTTGAGACAGAGTCTGGCTTTATTGCCCGGGCTAGAATACTGTGGCATCAGCTTAGCTCACAGCAACCTCAAACTCCTGGTCTCAAGCAATCCTCCTGCCTCAGCCTCCCGAGTAGCTGGGACTATAGGTGTGTGCCACCGTGCCCCGCTAATTTTTTAGAGGTGGGGTCTTGCTCTTGCTTAGGCTGGTCTTAAACTCCTGACTTCAAGCAATCCTCCCACCTCAGCCTCCCAGAGTGCTAAGATTACAGGTGTGAGCCACCACACCAGGCCTGAACTGCACTTTTTAACCCAACATCTATATGTGACCTATTTTTCCTTCAAATGAATTTGCTTATTTGAAATTACAGTAACTTGTTTTTGGTACCATAGGAGCACATTAAAAATTTGAACAGAAAATAATTAAAATTTGTTTTATTCATGAAATAATCTGCATATCTATTTAGGCTGATGTCTGTTGACATTTTATAAATTGAGAATTCTCAATTTTGAGAGGTATAATTACATTTAAAAGCAAAACTGAAATGAATACTTTTTTTTTTCTTTATCCTTCACCTTAGAAGGGAGAAAATGAATACTTCTGTTGCTATTTTTGGTGCCTCTAATTCTGAAAACAGGTATTTTGATGAAATTAGGACTTCAAGAGAATCTGAGTACAAGGTGCTATAAAAATGATATTTAATGGAATTTTTCTTGCCTTTGAATTGTTAGAATTTCTTAGTTGTTTGATAAATCTCTGGTAAGATGGTATCTTAATATGACATTTGTTCCTAATCTTTTTGACATTCTATGATCTCTAAGGGTCTTGGAGAGAACGTTAAACTTTTCTTAACAATTCACATGTTTGTAATCTTCTACCATAGTTTCTCCTTTGCTGCTCCCAGAAGGTGGGGGGCTTCAAAGTATTTGTAAACAATTTTGCCCATTTTAAATTATAAAAATTAAGTATGTACTCTGCTAGTTACATGGGGAAATAACACTACTATAGTAAGACCCTTAGGGTAATCCAGGAGAACTACATTTAAAAAAATTTAATTGGTAACCAAGTTGCTTATTTTCACTTAATGTCTCCATTTTCTTGTGTCATGGAAAAAGTATTACAAACATTTAATTGGTTGTTGTTTTGTTCTTTATCCTTTTATTGCTGTGTAGATACAAAATACCATATTTAATTGTTAGTCTCTGTTTTAATGATTTTGCTTCTAAAAGGCCTTTACATTTTTTTTTAGCCCTTCAATTTTTTTTTAAGCATAATTTTAACAGAAGGCTGCATTCAAGGTGAGATAGGCCCTGTATTTCTCTAAGTGTATGATACTATTTTCTGAATCTTCTTCTTTCTCTGTTGTCCATTTTAATGCAATTGAGGTGGGCCTCCTCTGTTCTTCATAATGACACCTTGGTCTTTCCCTAGAGATTTCAGCTAGTTCAGAGCATAAAGGTTTTTTTGTTTTGTTTTGTTGAGACAGAGTCTCACTCTTGTTGCCCGGGCTAGAGTGCAGTGGCATCATCATAGCTCACTGTAACCTCAAAACTCCTGGGCCGAAGCGATCCCTCTGCCTCAACCTCGGTAGTAGCTGTGAGCACAGGTGCACCACTAAGCCTGGCTAATTTTTTTATTTGTAGTAGAGACGGGTTGGGTCTTGCTCTTCCTTAGGCTGGTTTCAAACTCTCAAGCTCAAGTGATCCTCCTGCCTCCACCTCAGACTCCCACAGTGCTAGGATTACAGGTGTGAAAAGCCTAGGTTTGAAATGAGTAGTTTAATTTACATCATTTTTAAAAATGTGCCTCAAACTGTGGGTGCTTGTATTGAAATTCATGCTTCATGGAAAAATACATGTCAGTTACTAACTGCACTAACAGTAACTGCAGCCACATTCATAGTACTATATAGTTAAGGAGTTTAGGTATTAGAATGCTTGTCTGACTTTCATTATGTGATAGTTGTTGTGACAGAAAAATGGCCAGTTCTACTTTTTAAAATTTTGGAGATGAGGGTTTTACTATGTTGCCCAGGATGGAGTGCATGAGCCATTCACAAGACATGATCTTTGGGCACTACAGCCTGGACTCCTGGACTTGTGCGTGCTTCAGCCTGAGACTTCTGAGTAGCTGGAGACAATTTAATTATACACAGGTGACCCCAGATATTTATGCCATTGGTTACGGTGACAATATTTTGCAATTCAAAGTAGCGTAGTTTGTTAGCCGAGCGTGTTGGCGGCGCCTGTAGTCCCAGCTACTCGGGAGGCTGAGGCAAGAGGATCGTTTGAGCCCAGGAGTTTGAGGTTGCTATGAGCTATGATGATACCACTGCACTCTAGCCCCATCAACAGAGGGAGACCCTGTCTCCAAAAAAAAAAAAAAGTGTAGTTTGACTTTAAGTTGGCATGTATTTAAGGAGACGATGAGTGAGACCAAATATTAAAAATCTGGCCTGTACCCGAAGCACCACACCTCTGATATTTCTGTGGATGAAAAATGGAAAAGAAAATTGAGCTGCTATTTTATTCTAAACAATTCCATTTTTCCCTACTCAATACAGTTGCCTTAACTTTGTGGCTTTTCCCAGGGTTTTTGTAAGTTGGCCTTTCTATATAAATTCAACTGCAGGTTTCAGAAGCCCTTAGGCCTAGAAAGGCCAGAGGTCTAATTCCTTCCTTTGCTTAAATAAGATTGAATTATGGTAAACCCTCTAAGAAGAACAATATCAGACTGTCTCATTTCAGTTCTATTCCTTGTATACCGTAACGATTAGCAAAGATATATTGCAAAAGGTTTCGCAAGATCCTATATAAAAAAGTTGCTTAATGTTACAAGCCAATGACTCTTGGGAGGGATGGGTTTCTGAAGCCGTCACTGCTTAGCTGGGCGGTGAGAAGGGCTGCCTTGTTCTGACCACTTTCCCAAGCAGGCGGGGATCCAAGTGCCTGGAAAAGGCCAGGAGGTGGCCGTAGGGTGAGCAGAAGGGGTCCTGGCTGCTAGGAGAGAGGCCTTGCCAGCCGCTTTGACCTATAATCCTGTCAAAACCAACTCCATTTCTTTTATTCTTCCACCAGGCAGGTACCTAAGACTACTGGCTCGAGGGGCTGCAGGCCGCCCCCACTGCCCAGCGCCCGCCCCGCCGCCGGCCTTCCCCGCTCGGCTGCGCGCCTGCGCACCGGGGCCGGGCGCGCAAGCATTCTTTCCCGGCCCGGCGTTCCTGCCTCCCCCGTCCGGCTTCGCGCGCCTGCGCGCCGGCTGGGAGGAACTCGGCGTCTCTGCCTCAGCGGGCAGGCGGACGCGCGCGCGACCGCGGCGAGGAGGAGGCGGCCAGGCGGCGGGAGGCGGGCCGCGCGCGCCGGTGGGAAGCGTCCGGCTGCCACAGCGCCAGCTCCGTCGTAGTCGCTGCCGCCCGGGTCCCGCTCGCCCCTCCTCCCGCTCCCCCCGCCCGCCTGCCGCTGCCCGGGCGCATGCGCCACCGGAGCGCGAGGGTCGGCTTCGGGTGTGTGGTGGCGGCAGAGCGGAGCTGCGGGGCCCGAGAGTCAGAACCTGGGGGAGAGGGATGGTCTCTGCACGGGGGGGAGCCGGAGGAGCCGCCGCCGCTGCCGACGCCACCGCCGCAGCCGCCGCCGCCGCCGCCCCGGCGCCCGCCTCCCGGCGCTGACGGTCTCGCACGAAGCCGGCGAGGGGGAGCCAGCAATAGCGGTCGCCGGCACGCCGCCCAGCATGGTCCGGGAAACCAGGCACCTCTGGGTGGGCAACTTACCGGAGACTGTGCGGGAAGAGAAGATCATCGAGCATTTCAAACGGTGAGTGACACGAGGCCCGGGGCCGTGCTAGCTCTTCGGGCGCCGCTTCCCGCTCCAGCCCGTCGCCCGCCCCTCCCCGAGCGCGGAACTGGCGAGGAAGACCCCAGCTCCAGCCCCACGGGCGGGTGCTGGGGGCGCCGAGGTTGCCCTTGCTAGCCGCTCGGCCCGCGTCGCGGCGTTGGGCCTCGGGTCTCGGCGGAGCCGGCCGCGCCGCCTTCGACGAGCCCGCGGGGTCCGGCCGCCGCCGCCCGGCCGCTGGAGAAGGCTGTGGCTCGGCCTCGGCGCGGCCGGCGCCCGAAGGGTGCCTTCGCGTCCGCCACAGAGGGAGCGGGTGGCAGCCACTTTCGCCGGCGGGGTCGCGTCTTTGCGCGCCGCTGCCCCGGCTGCGGGACTCGAGCCCGCGCGGCCAGCCCTGGAGTCCTGTGGCTGCCCCGCTCCGCTCCGGGCCGCTCCGGAGGATTTCGTGCGAGAGGAAAGGTTGTGCAGAAACAGAAGTCTGGGTGGGTAACGCAGGCACTTCGCGGAACTGGGAGACGCTGCTCGTTCTAGGGACCCCGCACGGAGGGCTCACGGACGTGAACCTCAGTGGAAATGGCAAGTGTTTCTTGGTTCCGCGGGGCCGGAGAGAGCGTGATGTCGGAGGGCGCGGACGCGCCCGCTCTGGCCTCCCTGCTCCGCGTCCTGGCGCGGGAGCCGGGGGCTCCGACCGGCGGCGGCCGCGCTGGCGGGGGTCGCGTCGCCGCCTTCAAATACTGGTGTCTCCTCACCCCTGAATTCATTGATCAGATGGGTAAAAAGATGTGGCTATTTTTAAACTTCCCCGAATATTTTTGCGAATTACAAGAGTAAATGTTTTCGATACGTCTCACTCTAGCGTTCAGCGCGTGTTTTCTTTGTGAAATGCACGTTAACTGACAGGCCTCAGTTTGAGACCCTTAACGTGACGATGGCAGGGACTGACTGGGTGCAGATTGAGCAGGACCGTAGCACGTCTGAGATTGTCCTCGAAAATGACTTTCTTCCGATGTTTAAGACCCCGCGAGGTTGTAAGTTCGGCCGACTCTTAATTCCTCCCACTATCTAGTGAGCGAAGGAAATTATGGGGCGTCCTTATTAGTGAGTCACCATGGGAAAAATAGATTGCGTCGCTCGCTCTCGAGCCGCCGGGATGAGGAAATGGAAGCGGCGGCGGCGCTCCCGTCTTTCAAATGGAGGAGCACATTGATTCTGTCGGTGGTTGCTGTTACTGGGGCACTAAACCCTCGCCGCCGGGGCGCGCGTCTGCGCGTGCCCGCGTGTGAAAAGGAGCCGGGGAGAGTGCGGCCATTCATAACCTGGAGAGCTGTCCTCCGCGGGCCGGGGGGAGGTGCGCGCTCCCAGGGACGCTCCGGTGTTTACTACGTTGCGCCTGAGAAACGGGCGAGGGGAGGCAGGGAGCAGAGATCCGCCTCTGCGCCGGGAGAAAGAGGAGACCCGGGCTGAAGTGGGAAGCAGCTGGGAACTTTCTCTTCCCGACTGTGCTCCACCCCTTACCCACCCCACCCACGCCCCCAGTATCTTCAGTGTTTTGGTGGAAAAATCGTTTAGGTACAGATTATTGGAGTGGAAAACCACTTAGATGTGCTCACTTTAATCCCCTTGTGGACTTTCTCTGTGAGTCTCTCCCTGGGAAATTCGTAGGCACCGGCGTGCAAACACGTGCACTGCAGCATTCGCTCGCTCCTCTCTGTTCTGTGGCCAGACGTGTCATTTCGCATTATGCAGATTCCAGGGACATTGCATGCCTGTGGCGGGGAGTTTGAGCCCTCTGCAAGTTGAGGGTGTAGGGAGAGGAAAGAGGAAATCGTCCAAGACAGTTTCGGAAGGCTTTTTAGTGGATGGTGCTGCGGTCCGGCTTGTGTGAATGACTTTCTAAAATGGCGGCCAGGACCCACTTTATGTGGGAATCAGCAGAGCACATCGCAGAATGCACAGAGGGAGGAGGGGGCGGAGGATGCGAGCTGCCTTGGAAAGCGGCAGTCTGGAGGAACATTACTGTGGTAAAGATGGCTTAGCTGACACATTGCTCACGACTGCGTTTAAAGGAGTAGCTTACCTATTGCAGAGTAAAAGCAGATGCTACTGATAAAAGCAGGTTATTTTAAAACCGACGGATCATGTGTCTCTGAAACTTTTATTTAAAGATTTTTTCCATTTTTGAACAAGTTTATTTGGTTTTTGCATGTATAGCACATTTTTATGGGTTCAAAAAGCGTTGAAAGGTATACAGAGAAAGATCTCCCCTTCAACCCGACCCTGGGATTCCCAGTTCCCACACTCTGCCCCCTCCCACCCCTATTCAGGTAATCTTATTTCTGGTTTCTTGTTTATCTTTCTGCATTTACAAGAAATGTTCCTACTGATCCAGCTGTGGAGCTAAATGGACTTGGAGGAATTCAAGGCCTTTTATCCCTATTGTGGAATATGTTTTGTAAAATATGTGATTGCTACTGGGAGGGAAAACTTAATCTGAATAATTTAAATGAAAGGAATAAAAAGGTAATTGTACCAGAATGGTGGCTCTGCAAGGAAACTAAACGGTATTCACCTCTGTTGTCTTGAAGTCAGAATGAGAAAAACCATGCAGTATTAAAACTGAGCTTTAAGTGCCTATGTTTACCCTTCTCCCCAGCTGATTACATTAACTAATAACGATTTTATGAGATTAAGAGGTGTGCGCTGGGAATACATTATATAAAACGTTTTCAAGGTGAATGTTCTCTTAACAGTGATTAGGCTTTTGTAGTAAGTGTTTGGATTTAAAAAAAATTTAAACCAGACAACAGCTTTGGGGGCAGGGCAGCTTAGAGATTTTTAAGGGGGAAAAAAAGGTCAGAGTCAATTTTTAAAAATTATTTCTATTTTGATGAGTGTTTTTGGTGGACAATAGATTGAGGGAAGGATGCTGATCCTCTCAGTGCCAAAGAAAGACCAAATCCTTAAAACGTTAATCAGAGCGTTTTCAAAGATTGGCTTTACCTTCTTGCAATAATAAATCTATTGTTCGTTATCTTTATAGCTTTAAATATGCGGATTTAAAAAAATTAAATGAGGACTATTTCTGAATGGGGTTTTAGTTAACAAAGATTCCTTACAGGGGCACAATAGAGAAAGTCCTTTCCTTTGTATGTTAGCTAGGTTGAAGGGGGAAGGGAGGAGTTATACAACAATTGGTTGCTGTCTTTTAGTTGTAACAGGAGAGAGGTGTGTGCAAAGGCGGCTCCTTGATTTAGAATGAGCAAATGAATAGAACTGTTTAAAAATTTAAACATTTTTTATACCTTTTTAGATTTTAAGTAAATCACATATTTGGGTTCTTCCCCATCCATCCCCCAGTTTTAGAGTCTAGGTTTAAAGATTATGCAGAGGTTGAACGAAGAAGCCCCTCATGTAAAAATTTTGTCAAACAATGAGACTCATTTAAAAGTGTATTTTGTTTTTGCTAATTTTAAATGTTTTATCACAGCGGTTTTCCTGAGTTTTTATCTAGCTGACTAAATGTTACATGTTACATATATTTGGATATCTTTACTTCTGGGACACAATATAAAATAATATCTACCCTTTCAGGGGTCTCTAAAAAAAAAAATAATAATATGGAAGAGTTTCCTTGTCCTTACTCTATTACTAGAGATGTTTTTATTTTTATTTATTATTTATTTAGTTTTAGAGATATTTTTAGACTTAAACAAATTTGAATCACCATAGCCTACATCATTGCTACATTGTTCATATGAGAGCAGACAGTTTCTTGTCTGGCCATACCACCCTGAATGCTCCTGATTTCATCTATGAAACAACTTCTGATTTTGAAATTATGATTCTGAATATCTGTTTTCATGTTAGGCTTTTGCATATTAAAAATAAAATTGAGGGTTCTCTTGAAATAGCATTAAAAATTAATACAGCATGCTTAAAATGTATTTTATTTCCTGAGAAGAATGCCTCTGGCAGAATAGGAGGAATATAGGGCTCAGTGCCAGGAAGAATGATGGTGTTTGACTTGTGTAGAGGGCACTTTTTTCCAGCTAACTTTGTTGTAGGCTCTTGATTGCTTGGGATTGTATTGTCGAGTGTGCTTAGGAAGAGGTTTCAGGCTTGATTTATTATAAGACTTTTTTTTTTTTTGAGACAGAGTCTCACTCTGTTGCCCTGGCTAGAGTGAGTGCCGTGGCATCAGCCTAGCTCACAGCAACCTCAAACTCCTGGGCTCAAGCAATCCTTCTGCCTCAGCCTCCCGAGTAGCTGGGACTACAGGCATGCGCCACCATGCCCGGCTAATTTTTTCTATATATTTTTAGTTGTCCAATTAATTTCTTTCTAATTTTAGTAGAGACGGGGTCTCGCTCTTGCTCAGGCTGGTCTCGAACTCCTGAGCTCAAACAATCCGCCCGCCTCGGCCTCCCAGAGAGCTAGGATTACAGGCGTGAGCCACCACACCCGGCCACATTCTTATCATGTTTATATATACCATATGTGCTTTTACACATATAATATACCTTGATAGTTTCTTTGATTCCCAAAATTGTTTTACTCAGTGATTTTTTTTTTTTTTAACATTTACCTCACCGTTTTATTCCTTTGATTTAAAAAGTAGGGCATATGTACTCAAAAACATTTTGTATTTTACAAAACTATATGTGATATGTAGTGATTTGTGTCTTTCATAAATCAATAAATTGATAGGCAGTAGACATTTTTTGTCTAAACCATCAATTTTTAAAAATTATGCTATCTGCAATAAAGGCTCTTTTGCATTCAAGATTATTTAAAAGCCACCTTGGATTAAAAGAAAGGAAGTAAAAGAACAGTTTATTACTTTATTATCTTAAAAGGATATTAGAATTTTTAATGACCATTTAGATCAGAATTCAGGAGAAATAAAGATGTATCTTTATTTTCACTAACTTCTTGCTGGGATCTAATATTTCCTTCAACTACAATATAAGGGAAAAACCAAC